ATATTGAATTGGTGTTGAATTATAAAGAGAACAATGGCTACTGGTAGATATGCCAAAGAATTTAGGTCAAAGATCACCTGTCTAACAGCTTGTGATTCACAGAGTTTCTAGTGATTAGCCAAGAAGCCGCTAGGCTTCAGGAGCCCCAGAATGGGTATTTGATGAACCCAATACAGAGAGCTAGTCCCACCCATGGGTAGGACACAATTCTGGTTTCTTTTATATTCTGTGTTCCAACAAAGATAATTGGAATGGAATATTATATAATTTGTGGTGCTCTCCAGATCACAGGATGAAATGAAGCAAAAGAGAAGAATTGATCTAAGGCATATTTCTAAAATTCATACTTACATTCTTCACTAACATTGGTCAGCTGAGCAAATTAATTGGCTCTTGATTTTTTACAAACATAATATGATTACCTGCAGGGAGCAATCTGACATTGCCTAAAATACTTGGTGCTTTTTAAAAACTATTTTATTAATATGCCATACCTCATCTAGGGGATAAGTCCGTGGAGGGGGGAGTCCTGACTTACTGAATTCAATGGCACCAATCATAATGACCTAAAGCTACTAGCGGTTCAATGAAAAGTGTTGATGTTGAGGGTGGCGGTTATGTTAATTGGGACTGTTTGGCTGCAGATGAAAATAACCTATCTGACTAGCATAGGCAACAAAGGGAATGGTTGGCTCCCATAACCTGCAAGGTCAAGGGGGAAGGGTTGACTTCAGGAGTGGCTAGATCCAGGTTTTTTGAGAAGACATCATGATCATGCTGTCTCCATGCTTCACATTGCCTGCCATCTCTCTCCTCTATGTTTGCTGGCTTCTCAGATTTTCCATGAGGATATAATTAGGTCACCAGCACCTGGAAATCCCAGAGAACAGAGAATTATCCTCTGTCTTTCCAGAATCCATATCAGCTCCTTTAATTTACTCTTACTGCTCCTGTTTGCATGTTCTTCGGACCCATTGCTGAGGTAGGGGTCAGGACCGTGGGCCTGATGCCCCGAAGAGCAGATATCCACTGCATGACATTGACAGGAAGAAACAAAGATGAGAGGAGACAGATGTATCATCAACACAAATACAAAGTACTGGGATTACTGGCCATTACAGTTACTTATAAGAAAATCAGGAAGGCAGAAAATAAGTCCCCAGGGCATGATCAGCTCCATGAGACATGACAGCAGAGACTTAGAAGGTGTTTTAAGAATTTTAAAAGGTGCTGTGGGAGGTTATGTGAGATTCAGAGCACACAGTGGGGCCCGCGGTGGGGAGGGGGAGCAGGAAGAAGGGAGGAATGTAATACGGGCCGCAGTCCAACCCAGGCATGGACAAGAAACTTAGCCGCTATGTCCAGGAAGCTTTGGAATGAAAGATGTCGGGGAGAGAAAGCTGTTCACAGAGAGTGTAGAAGGTAAAAGAGAAATGCAGGACTAAGGGTGATCATGTGAAGAAAAAAGTAATACTCCTCTGAGCACATGTTGGGGAGAACACTGGAGGGACACCTTGCCTCCCCAGGAGGAAGTGGCTGTTAACTCAGAGACAGGACGTCAAGCTGAGGTGTCTGGTTCAAGACAGGTCTGTTCTCATCTATCCATATGGGTGCAGGTGTGGCGGGGAAGATGGGCAGACATGCTTTAGGAACTATGGGAACCTGGGAACCAGGTGGAGGGAAGAGCAGATAGATCTTCCACATTTGCATCTGGGAAGAAACCCTAAATGCAATTGAGTACCCAAACAGCATGTAGCTCTTCCCAAATATGGACATCGCTCAGTGGGAGCAAGGTAGAGATAAGGATGAGTTGACCACACCCAACAAAACCCAGAGGAGTGACAAGAAGTAAGGAAGAAAAGCCCATCCATCACCTATAATTGGAAATTAGCGCGTTGTAGATTTCATCTATGGATTATACAGACGTTCTTAAACTATTCTTCTCTGTAATAGAAAAACAGGTTAAAATATTTAGATGATTTTTTTTTACTATTTCAAATAGTGCTGAAGTAATTATATATAGGTATATATATGTATGTGAGTGCATGTAAAATTATATGTGTGTGCTTGTGTATGTCCAACTATTTATGTATTTTATGTGTATGTATGCATGCACCCAAAATACATACATACTATACATACACACTATCAGCTCCTGGGATCTGGGAATTTGTGCATTATTCTAACAGATGCTGCTAAATTACCTTCCACATTGTTGACCAATGCACACTGTAGCCAAGACCACGAAATTCTTCCCTTCACACCGTTGTCAACACTGCCTGCATCCGATCATTTATATTTTGCTTATCTTTTACGTGACAAATAGCATCTCATTTAATTTTAAATGCACATTAATTCCACTTTAAAGAGGTGTATAACGAGTTTTAGCCAGTTGGGAGAGGCTGGTTGTATGCAGCATCTGGATAGGCTGGTGGACAGTTAGAGAAACATCATAGTGCAACGCGGAGGTGGTGGGCTTGAGATGATCTGGGTGTGAATCTTTCTCCCCTTCCTCCCTCACTCATTAGCTTGATCTTTGGACACATTACTTAACTCTCTGTGTCTCTGTTTCTTATAAACTGTGATTATTTTAAGGATTAAATGAGATAAAGTATATGGTGATTTGCACAACATCTATCATGTAGGAAGTGTCCAATCTATATTCTCTGCTTTAAAAATTTTATTATGTTATGTTAATCATCGACCATTACGTGTAGTGTTCCATGATTCATTGTTTGCATATAACACCCAGTGCTCCATGCAATACATGCCCTCTTTAACACCCATCACCAGACTAACCCATCCCCCCACCCCCTCCAGGACCCTCAGCTTGTTTCTCAGAGTCCATCGTCTCTCATAGTTCATCACCCGCTCCGATTTCCCCCACTTCATTTTTCCTTTCCTACTATCTTCTTTTTTTTTTAACATATAATGTATTATTTGTTCCAGAGGTACAGTCTATGATTCAACAGTCTTACACAATTCACAGTGCTCACCATAGCACATACCCTCCCCA